CTTTGCTCCCGGTGCCTCTGGTCTGCTGGGGACCATCTCCAGCAGACCAGGGACACCGGGAGCAAAGGAGGCGGAGGGGCGCTGGGGTATAAGATGAAACCCTATCTTTTAATTAAAAAGATAGGGGGTCGTCTTATACACCCAGTCGCCCTATACGCCGGAAAATACGGTATCTAAAAGTGTTACAAGGAGGAGAGAGAAAAATTGTTCTCCTTGGCCTCTGAGGATAGGACAAGAATCAATGAGCTTAAATTGCAGCAAGGGAGGTTTAGCTTGGACATTAGGAAAAACCTTCTAACTATCATGGTGGTTAAACACTAGAATAAATTGCCTAGGGAGGTTGTGGAGATATTTAAGAACAGGTTGGATAGACATTTATCAGGGACAGTGCTTGGTCCTGCCGTGAAGGCAGAGAACCTAACTGGATGACCTCTCAAGGTTCCTTTCAGTTCTAGGATTCTATGAATCCATGATCTAACATGTAGCCATTGAGCTAGGAAGTATATCAAAAATAATGTATCCTTGGTAGGATGTGGGAACGCAAATTTTGTTAGAACCATATTAATGTTATAAACAAAGCAGTAATATGCCCTGTCGTTATAGTTTCAATATAACCAATCATACACTGCCATAATTAAAACATGAGGACAAGGGGAAAAAAAGCTTTTCTGGGTTGTTAGAACAGTTGATCTCTCTCTATAAGCCACGTTTTTCAATGTAGGTAGTGAGGCTATATTAACACAAAACCCAATTTCATCTTGGCCATATCAGTACAACATAGCTTAAGTAAAGGAAGTCTAATTTACAAACGATACATTAGCACATTTAAAGTGCAATCTTTCTAGTTTGATGGAACTGGAATTATAGGTACTATAGGCATGCAAGATTGCCCCAGCTGTTCAAAAATCTCAGACTTTATAATGGGAAGGGTAGTTAATAATAGATTATCAGAACATGAATAACATTGCCAGTGCATGTTGTGAAGACCAGGACTTTAACAGGGTTCCAAAAAGAACTAGATAAATTCATGGAGAATGGGTTCACCAATGGCAACTAGTCAGGATGCGCAGGAATGGTGGTCATAGCTTTTGTCAGAGGCTGGAAATGGCGACATGAGAGAAAACACTTGATTACCTGTTTCTGTTCACTCCCTCTGGGACATCTGGCATTGGCCACTGTCAGAAGACAGGATACTGGGCTCGATAGACTTTGGGATTTTTATGGCTTAGTGATATGGTATTCAACATATGTTAGCATTTTTAAGAAATTGGGGTCTATTAATGTTGCTGCCGCTCATTTGTTTAAGTGTGTCTGTCTGTGTGTCTTTGTTTTGTACTGCCACTTTTCTCAAAGCACTTGCCATAGTCTTACCATGATGGCATACAACTTATTAGTCAAACAAGAAAAAAAAGTAATTTGTCGTCTGGTGTCTGAGCCTTTAGGGTGGCATCTGCTTCACATTTTCTAGCTTTCCTCTGCAACAGTGAGAGCTATAAATACATTTCTTTTAAAGGTGAAAGCAGACATGATGCAAACTTTTGTTTCCAGTGAGGCTTTAAGGAAAGTAATGCAAGTCTTATAATAAAAATCACAAAATGTGGCAACACTGGAGTGGGGAAATGGACAACTCACCATACTGATTCAAAACTATTGTTTGCCAGGGCTGGTTGAGAATTTCTGAAGGAAAACTGAGTCTTTGACAAAACAAACCTTTTTTATGAAAAATGTTTACTTTCCTCAAATACATATATATTTTTTTTACAAATAGGATTTTCCCCCACTGAAATTTTCAGCATTTTTCCCAGCTCTACTTGTTATCCAGGAACAAACTAAAGTAAAAATCTTTTGTATGTTACTCTCTGCTAATTTCCCCTTACCTCCATTTTTTAAAACTATAGGAATGAGTTTTAGGCAGCATGGAATATGATACAGATCCTACTGATGATGAAGGAACATCCCAGAGAAAAGAAAGCACCACAATATCACAGCAAAGATGTAGGAAACAATAAATCAAAGTCCCTTATTATATTATAGAGAGATGGTGGCTGCCAGAGTTGAAGCTGGGGCTGTGGTGTGGCTGGGCCAGGGCCGCAGTGCATGGTGACTGCAAGGTGTATTTTATAATATTCACCTTGCAGTCATCATGCACTGCGGCCCTGGCCCAGCCACACCACAGCCCCAGCTTCAACTCTGGCAGCCACCATCTCTCTATAATATAATAAGGGACTTTGATTTATTGTTTCCTACATCTTTGCTGTGATATTGTGGTGCTTTCTTTTCTCTGGGATGTTCCTTCATCATCAGTAGGATCTGTATCAGCTATTATTAGCACTGCAGCACAGGTCTGTAAGAAAAACAGCTTATTGTTCAAACTTTGCAGGTAGGTGTGTGGGGGGCGGGAGGGAGATGATGTCTTTTAACCTTATCTGTAACTGACGGCATGATACAGTATGTGGTACTTAGGGTCAGGCATAATAATAAGGATGTTGGGTGGAAATTCTGATTTAACAGCTGTTTTTATTCTTTGTGTCTAGGAAAGGGCTGTTTTAGTATTCTTTCTTCGATGACATTTAAATATACTAGAAGGCTGCACCCACTACTCGCTATGCTCGCCAACCCCTCTCTTGCAGGGGGTAGGCAACCCCAGCTCTCCCCCCAGCCACCGGGCAGGGTCAGGTTACAGCCATGCCGTCCTGGGCCTCTTCTCCCTCTCTCCCCCCTCTCTCCCACCACACCAGCTCAGGCCTTTTCCTTCCCCACCTCCCCAGTCGCACCAGCCTGGACCCGACCCTTTCTCTCTCCTTC